GTGCTATCAGATGGATCAAACCCATTCTCTGTGTTCTTTTCACACGGTCTGAGCTTTGAGGATTCAACACTCGGTGAACATTGATGCACTGTTAGGGTTAGGGCTGGGGTAAGCTCTGTTCAGCTCTACTTGGAAGAAGTCAGGAAGCATGATCATTCCTCCTACCAATCCATAGAGCATGTCAAAATAAAGCAGACTGGCACCCAGACTGGCCTGACTTGAGGCCTTAGAGCTTTGTGGGAAGTCTGGGAACATTGGGATTGTAAAGGGGAAGAACTGGTTTCAAAGTCAAGAATCTTGGATTCTAATCTCAGCTCTGCAGTTCCCCTGCACCTGCTTCCTCACTTCTCCTGTAAGTGGGGTAGCCTGAAACAACCTCTAAGGTTCTAGCTCTAAAGTCTCCTATGCTCACCACAATAAATTTCAATCAGAGATGACAGTGATAAACTGTAGTGCTCTGACTCATCGTGGTTTATGATACTTCGGGAAGGCGGGGTACCTGTAATAGAAATGGGCCTCATGCCCACATAGTTGCACCCTTTTGAAGATCTGCCATGGTCAGTGGGAACAAAGCCAAAGCACTACAAACTCCTATGATACGACACTGAAGGTTTAATACAGCTTAAGAGTGACTCCACCTTGTGCCCACCTCGGTCTGACAGGCACACACTCATTTTCTGTGGCTCTGTCCTAAAACCAAACACAGGTCTTATTTTGTCTATGAAGTTTTCCCAAACTTCACTAGGTCATCATCTTCATCTCAGAGGATAGAGGTTATGGAAAACAAACAAACAAACAAAAAATACCCACATAATATAAAACTGCAATATCCAATACAGTAGCCATTAGCCACATGTGGCTAATTTAATCTTTAAATTAATTAAAATTAAAAACTGAATTCCTTAGTGACCCTGGCCACACACTTCCAGTGCTCAACAGCCACATTTTGACATTGGCTTCCATACTGGACAACATAGGTTACAGAACATTTCCAGCACTTCCGAAGTTCTATTGGACAACACTGAATAAGTCTTGAACCTGCTCTTAAAAAGTTGACCCTTGGATTTTGCAAGAGACAGATTTCAAGGGTTGCCCAATGGCAGTAGAGCATATAAATTCCTCCATATAAAGAAAGCAAGGAGAAGTAACTATGGATACAGTTTGAGCTACCCCTTCGGGATCTACAAGTACACTGAATGGGTAGAGGACAACACAGCTGGCTGCCTGGCAGTTGGTGAGATTCACTGGCCATTGATAATACATTTGAGCAGGGGCTCAGCAGCGTTTCAGACTGCTGTGGCATGGGTTGTAGGGTTTCTGGTGAATTATTGAATCTGAATCCTCAAATTGCAAGTCTACCATTTCCCCAAATGTTATTCTCTGGTTTCTGTCAGTACTTCCTATCTCCCTACTCCTGTGGGTTGCAGGAGGGATGAATATTCATCAGAGACATCCTTTTTGAGAAAAAGACTGGAAGCCTTTCTAGCTTTCAGATGCAGAGGGGAAGAGAGACTTTATCCAAAACGTAGTGGATCTGCGCCGGCTGTGGTTCAGAGATTGAGCATCGAATTATGAACCAGGAAGACATGGTTCCCAGTCAGGGCATATGTCCGGGTTGTGGGCTTGATCCTCAGTGTGGGGCATGCAGGAGGCAGCCGATCAATGATTCTCTCTCATCATTGATGTTTCTATCTCTCTCTCCCTCTCCCTTCCTCTCTGAAATCAATAAAAATACATGGTTTTAAAATGTAGTGGACACATATTAGTAGAAATGAATTTGTCATAAATTCAGCCAGGAAAGTTTATAAAAGTTGAACAAATAAAGCATTTGAACCTAAACAATAAATGAAGGAACAATTTTGATGGATATCTTAAATACTCTATTATCTAACAGCACTGCTGGGACACGTTAGCCAAACCAATGGATACTGACATCATCCCTTTATCAGTGAATGATGCTCCCATCTTTTTAAATGATCTAACTTCTAGAAAATTGTTTTTTACAAAATTGTTCACAGGCTGTATAAAAGATATATAAAAATATCCAGTTTACTTATGGCTTTTCTCTAAAACTGAAACTGTTTAAAAATGGAAAATGAATTGCAATATTGAGCACTTTAAAAAAAAAAAGGGAAATTTGATGATGTCACCTGTGTTTTGTCAGTTATTCCAGAGGTAAAGAGAGAGATATTTTGTAAGAAAAACTGAGGCACAAACTTCACACATGAGATAAAAATCAGTCAACAAGAAAAGAGTGGCTCCCATATTCTAATTAATTTCCAATTTAGAACCACAAGGCTCTATAAAAGCACATGGGGAATATTAGGGCATCAGTGATCTAGTTTGGTTTCCTAAGGACTTAATCATTAAGGAATCAATGAGCCTGTTTCTAAGTCATGACCGCAACACAGATCTGCACCCATCTGGCTTGCTTTGATGAGGAGGAGAATCATTGCTCAATCTTATTTAAGAGCTATAATGTCTTCGCTCTTCTGTGTCTCACTCACTATAGACAGGTGGTTTGGCCAGAAAATAACTGCTGATTTTCTTTGCCTGGTTATAACAAAGAATTACAAAGAAATATATTTATCCTGGACTGTTCAGTTGCCTAACACCAAGAGAATGGTGTTTTGCTTCAAGAAGGACATAAGTCTTTGGAACAAAATAATTGAACATAATCTTCATTCCAGAGAAGAAATCTGGTGGAATATGTAGGGAGAGGGTGAAAGATGAATTGCTTTAAATTCTCCCACACTTCTCCCAGATATACAAGCTCACTGCTATTTGAAAGATTTCTTTGTGAGTGGGTAAATAATATATTGTGCTTATGTACTAGTATACATATCCTATATAATAAGAGAGGAACATGCTAATTAGCCATTATGCCAGGTGTTAACGACCAAGCGCATCATGACCAGATCATGGATCAGCAGGAGGGTGGGCCAGCGAAGTACAAGCGGACTGCGGAGAGCTACAGGAGGGGGCAGGGCAGCAAGCTATGAGGGGCGGGGAGGAGGGAGGAGGGTGAGGGGAGCTACAGGAGGGCAGCAGTGACCTACTGGCTACAAGTGGGCTGCAGACAGCTAAAGGAGGGGGCAGGGCAGCAAGCAAGCAGGAGGCCGAGAGCTACAGGAGAGGGCAGTGGACGGAGAGCTACAGGAGGGCGGCAGCGATCTACGCATGGATTCGTGCACAGGGCTACTAGTATAGTAATAATACGTAATATTTAATATTGCCAAATGTGCATATATCTCTGACATATCAGAAGAGAATACTGGATGATATCAATTTTTGACAAACAAGCATAAGTTTATAAAATTTATCATTTCTGAATTTGCACCATTAAAAATAAGTAATTATTAAAGGGAATAAATAAGACCTTTCTAAACCAACTATAATTAAAAATCTTGGCTTAAAAACACTCTCCTGAACTATTAGATTTCTTTCAGCCACAGAATAATATTACTAATAATCCAGAATGATTTGTTTCATTAGCAAATATTTATCAATCATTCACTATGTGTCAAGTACAGTCAACAAATTGATGAATTTAACCTGCCTTTCTAGTTGTTGTCAAAATTAATCATTTATTCATTTAAGTCAGTTGTTTTATCTTGATTTATATTACTTGTGTCAGTGAATAAATTAAAATTTGTCTTAATATCACAAATCTTGCATTTTTCAAGAGAGATCCAGCTCAGCCAAGACATTATCAAGGCAAAAGATCTAATTTCAACTAATAAATACTCACTTAAAAATAATTCCGAAAGAAGACCCTCACTCATGATGTTTCTAGTCAATCTCTCCTGGTAAGGAAATTCAAACTTGAACCAGAAAAAAAATGTATACACCCCCCCCCCATACACACACACACACACACACACACACACACACACACGCCTATCCACATACAAAATACACATACAAGAATGATGTGGTACATAGTTACATGTTCTTCTAAAAAATCCTTATCTTTAAAATTAATTCTAGCTTTTAATTGTTCCCTCTGCCTGAAATATCTTTTCCACCTTGTTTATGTTCCTTTTTCTCCTTTGGGTCTCAGTTAAAGGTCACCTCCTCAGCCAGGCCTCCTGGGCAATCCAAATTCTGTTGCCCCTTTGTCCTTCTCTTCCCCTAACCCCAGATACCACCGACTATACCAGCTGTGGGCAAACTACGGCCCGCGGGCCGGATCCGGCCCGTTTGAAATGAATAAAACTAAAAAAAAAAAAGACCGTACCCTTTTATGTAATGAATGATGTTTACTTTGAATTTATATTAGTTCACACAAACACTCCATCCATGCTTTTGTTCCGGCCCTCCGGTCCAGTTTAAGAACCCATTGTGGCCCTCGAGTCAAAAAGTTTGCCCACCCCTGGACTATACCCATCATATCATTTATCCCAATTAATCATTAGACAATGTTTACTTGTTTCCATGTATACTATCTCTTGCTGAGAAAGGCTCTGTGTCTATTTATTCACTGATATTTATTTAGCATCTAACAGTGGCTGGAAGAAAGCATTATAGTGCTCAATCTGAACTATGGGTGAATGAATGAATTCATCCAGTTTTGAAGCTCCAGCTTATTCCATTTTCATAACATTTGAATACTAAGTGCTAGTTAGTGGTTTTGCTATACATAGTCATAATTCATTGTAATCTGTGTACACTTTTAAGTCCACTCCTATAGAAAGAGAGAAGGGTAGATGTCCTTAAAACTACCTTTTCACTCCCATAGGGTTGTCAAGATAATGGAAATGACTTTCGTAAACTCAGCTTTTCAGTTGCACATATCATGAATCAACGTTCAAGCACAATTCATGCTTTAAAGAAAAGTTCTTCTTAAAGAGAGACCCTACTGCAAAGCAAGGCCATTTTAGAAGTCTCTTATCCCCAAATCTGAAAAGGTAATAATATTGACGAGGCTTAATGAATATCACTCTAGTGTTTCATAATATTAAGGCTATCTGAGTCTTAATATTATGGGAAAGTCTTACCTGGAATCTTTCCTGACTCTTGCTTTCTCAAAGGAAAATTCAGGGGGTTTGTTGAGGTCATAGGTTCGGGTTGTTGGCTCGGCAGACACCCCAGCCTTTGCTCCCCTCCTGCTGTGGAGAGAGACCAGCCCCGAGGTCTTCCGGTGCACCTCCAGAGGGATCCTCTCTGGAGAGGCCTGAAGCAGGCTGCCGCCCTGGATGTGCACCACATCCTGCAGCTTGTTCAGCTGGATGCACTTGTTCTGCAGCTCCTCCGTGAGCTCCGCGATGGCCACAGTCTGCTTCGACAGCTGCTCCCGCAGTTCCTTCAGATGGTACTCCCGCTCCTGGATCTCGGCATCCTTCCTCCTCAGCTCTCTCTCCAGCTCTGCCACCTTGCTCTGCAGGGCATTGTAGGTGAGGTTCCCGGAGTGGCCATCTGGATGCTTGGGATGTTTGGGTTTCACTGAGCCATTTCCCATTTTGCTCAAGGACCTGAGAGAGGGCACAGAATTGGGAATTACCCAGTGGAGTTTCACGTCCTAAAGTCCCCTCAGCGCTCCTCTCATTCCCATCTGTTTCATAAATAGAAGCATAGATGTCATCATTGTTTGATAAATACTAAATTCCCCCATGCTTCCAGAAGGAAAGTTATTGATCCATTTCTTTTATCCCTCCAGGAGGAGGAGTGGGCATTTGGTTTCATTGTACTCTGTCCCTTTGCTGGCACAAGTATCACACCTTTGCCTTTTGCACAAATGGCCTGTGTTACCTGCTGTTCTCTTTGGTCATTCTCTCCGGACAGCTGTCAAAAGCATCACAACAGAGCTGCGATTTGGATGTAAGCATGGCAGAGATAAAACACACAGGGGCAGCTACAGCAGCGGAGGCTTGGAAATGTCACAAGTCTCACAGCTCCCTGAGAGGCTACATTAAGGAACCCTTCCCGCATTTAGAAGATAACACATCTGAATTCCACAGCAGGAGGAGGCAGAGCTGGTGTGGCTTTATTAGCACTTTTCTCCTGCCCTGGGTACCTGTTAAGTTTTGCATGAAGAAGAAGAAGGGGTGGAGGAGGAGGAACAAAATCTTCTGGATTGTGATTACTAGAAGGTAAAAGAGAGGTACGAAGATTCTTCTACATCCTTCACTTTTTATCCTGAAGCCAATGTTGTCCATAAATGATGACCTATGGTACAAGGCTCCTTTTTTATCCTGTTAAGAATATCCTCAGTGTAGGCCCCCAAGTGGCCCCACATCCAGTGAGTGAAAAGCAGATCAGAAGTACGAGGAATGATTTTAGTTGGTTCAGAAATATTTTGTAGTTCAATCGCTATGCATTTATTTTAACATCATTAGAAATATAGATGATGGGCACCACAAAGTTGGGATCTCATTGATATTATTGCTTAAGTGGAGGCTAGATTGGGTAACAGGCTTATTGAGTCAATTCAGTGAAAACAGAAAATACATCATCTGCAGATAATAAGCACAAGTGAGCAAACACAAAAAGAACTCTAGCCCTAACCGGTTTGGCTCAGTGGATAGAGCTTCGGCCTGCAGACTCAAGGGTCCCAGGTTCGATTCCAGTCAAGGGCATGTACCTTGGTTGCGGGCACATCCCCAGTAGGGAGTGTGCAGGAGGCAGCTGATTGATGTTTCTCTCTCATCGATGTTTCTGACTCTCTATCCCTCTCCCTTCCTCTCTGTAAAAAATCAATAAAATATATTTTTTTAAAAAGAACTCTAAAGGGTGAAACTGGGAAAATACTGCTTTGATTGATTAAGATACATTTAAATCATTCTAGGCTACCTATTTGAACTTCATACTTCTGCATGTGCAGTTTTTGATAGCCATAACCAAAGCAGCATTATAACACTTGTGAATTAAGTTTAATTTCCTCTCATTATCTAATCAGAAGAGATCAATGAAATTTTGAAGTTATATAACCCACACATTCTTGCCCCTCTCTCCCTCCAAATTTCAAACTCAGAGAGAAATGAAATTCTTACACTGATTTCCCTGGCTTTCCCAGAATAATCATGACCTCCACAACAATAAAGACAGAGACATAAAGATGTAAAACAGCCTCTAAGTTTCAAACAGATGCAGCCAAATGGCCAATGTAGGTTGCCTACGATGGATGGTACAGACAGAAAATAAAAGTACTTATAAAAGTAATCTTGTGGTACTTAGATATTCATAGAAGTCAGGTTCCAAGCAATCATTAATGAATATTAGTCTCCAGAGAATAGCCTATACATGTTGCAATATCTGTTGACTTGGCGGCACGTACTGTTCCTAGTTATTCAGAATACATAAAAAGGTTGAGGAGATTAGAATTCAAAGAGGATACTACTAGAATTCAAAGAAGTAGCCCTGGATACCCTTGTCTCCTGAAGAAGCAATTCAGAAGACATCAGACTGGGACCTAAGAATAACCTTGAATGAGATTCTGAATGACAGGCATGAGAGGGTGCTCCCAAAGGCATCCAAAATTAATGTGCGCACATTTGTAGCATGCAGCTATGAGCCATCTTCTACATGCACATTTTTGGTACATGGACAAGCATTACTGAACCAAGGCAGGATGGAAGGAAGGGAGTTGGGGGAAAAGGAATTGCCCTATAAAAAGAAAACAAAACAAAAGTGAATACAAAAACTTTTAAATCTAACATTAAACTAACAACTAATTTTTCACTCATTGAACAATTGTTAACTAAGACCTGTCATGTACTATATCAGGAGCATAGTTCCATGAATTTGCCTTCAAATTTGACACAGAAAACAGTTCTAGAATTCTAAATATGAAAAGACTTAGCATCATTTTTGCTAATGGCATTCAAAACATTCTGTCCAATCCAACAATAATTTTACAAACCTGAAGCACGATTAAGTAGAAGATGCTAAATTCTCCCAGAACACCAACTATTATCTGGTCTTAGTGGAATACGTTTGAAAGCTGTATAAATCTTTCAAGTTATTTACAATTCCAAAGAGGGATGAAATGAGAGCAACCCATCTTTCAAGTCACTAATTTAGGATATGTAAGTTACCAAATGGCTCAATACTATGTCTGATTTCTTAGTGAGTTCACCCATTTCAATTTTTTTGTCCCTCAAGCCAAGGCTTCGAGTGTCTGGCTTCATAAAACCTAATTGAATTCACTGTTTCCTGTATCAGTCACTAAGACAGATAAGCTATTTCTCAAATATGTATTGCTAGCCACACAGAGAAATGAACCACAGGATGTTGCTCCATCAATCTAGCAACTATATGTTATTAAAATCATTCTTCTAATCAGAAGGCAGCACATAAAGTAATAAGAAATGAGCTTGGCCCTAACCGGTTTGGCTCAGTGGATGGAGCGTCGGCCTGCAGACTGAAGGGTCCCAGGTTCGATTCCGGTCAAGGGCATGTACCTTGGTTGGGGGCA